ACTGTAGATTTCGCTGCTGAATCAGCCATAAACACGGCGGATGAGCTGGCTGGCGACTTTTATTTTGATATACAAATACCGGAAGTCCTTCCGTTCTCCGTTCCCGCGACTTTACTGCTCGGTTCGCTGAGTGACGTCTCTCACCGACCGGTGAAATACACCGACAAATCGACCGGACTGACCGCTTATCTGTCTTTGCTGGAACTCACGGCATCACGGACTGTCCCTCTCCTCTCCCCGGCCTGAAGGGCCGAGCCGCTGACACGGAGCGGTAGCGCTTCTCCGCAGGATGATGGATGTATCTCCGGTACTGACCGACGGACTCGCATCCCGGTGGACTCGGAGGACGGTCAGCGCACACTTTTGACCAGCTCAAAGAAGACTGACGCACCGGCTGTTTGCTCCTTCAGTTTTAATCCTTTCCCCCGGAATGTCATCATCAAGGAGCGAGTAAAGCATCTGCTCTCGCCGGGTGCCGCTGGACGTCCTTCTCCTCAAGGGTTTCTGGCGCTTTTAGCAAACGTTAGCACCGGTATGAGCAGGACCGCAGCTGCCCGTCATATCTAACCGGGGTCGGAGGGTGCTAGCAGGGGAATATTTGGATCTGTGGATGAGAGCCGGTCACCGGGTGGGATTGTGTACAGAGCGGAGGAGGAGGACGGAGGAAGAGCAGCGGCAGCAGCGGAGAACATCCATCCTCATCCCCGGAGGGGGGCAGAAGCAGCGACGAGGCCACAGGACGATGTGAAGATGGGGGTAGTTTTCGGTCTCCTGTGGCTGTTTACCGGCTTCCTGCAGGGCGTGCACGGCCAGGGCGTGTACGGTAAGGACGTCATTAGCATACAATTCAAATATTTTCAGTTAACACACGCACGCGCACCTTACATGTTACGTGAATGCGATTTTGAGTGCACGCGAGCGGCGTTGATCTCGGAGCAACTTGACCTTGTGAGGGATTTGGCTCCTGTGCGTGTGCGTGGGTGCGTGGCTGGTTCGTGGTTCATTCAGTCCTGTCACACTCGTGCCTGGCCTAAAGGCACAACAGGTAGGCGGCTACACAAACACAGATACACACACCTGTGCATGCAGGGACAGCCGCAGTGCTAATCCTGCATCATGGCCCCAGCAGTGCCGTTATTAGATGGCACTGTGGTTTCGGTGTGTGCCGGTGGTTCTGTATGAAGCAGCCTGCAGCTCCGTGCAGCAGGAGACGGGGACATGATGCTGCTGCTGTTTTCATTGTATCAGTCATGACATGACCGGGCACTGGAAATGACTGGAAATGACCGGAAATGACCGTTCTTTTACTGGTATGCTGCTGGTTCGTTCCTGTAGTTACTGTAACACATCCCGGCTCCTGCACGGGGGCCATTCCTCTACTGTACACAAACCCCGATCTTCTTATTTTGCCTTACTTGCACATTTCACATATTCTGGTGTAATATGGTGTCTTAACTGTGTCCTGCTATACTTTGGTCCTCCAGTAGAAATCAAGATCCATGTACTATAATACTATGTTGTTATTCAGCTGATGATCTGCTTATTTCTGTCGTAGCTCTTAGTAAATACAGTTAGTGTGTTACCGTGGACAGTGTGCTGATGCTCAGGCACCTGCTGTTTCAGCCTCTTACTTTATAAATGCCCTTTTTACAAAACTGCATTTTCCAATGTCTATTTTATAATTTTATATTTGACTTTTAAATTTTGGCCGATGGCATTGATTCCCAATTCAAAGCATGTAATGGCCAACAGTTGTATTTTGATGGAACAGCAGCATCGCTGACCTGCTTTTACAGCCAGAGTTTAGTCCTACACTTTTCAGTGTTTGCTAATTTTATGAAATGAAATACTATTACAACATGTCAGTGCAGCCAGCCAATCATAAGTGATAATACCCCACACTGAGCTTATAGCGAGAAAGCTTTGATTTCAAATGTACAAGTCATCTCCATCTTTGTCTGACCACAGAAATTTAATACAATTTACTTATACAGCACCGAATAAGCACAGTCGCCTCAAGGTGCTTTATATTGTAAGGTAGACCCTACAATAACACACAGAGAAAAACCCAACAATCATATGACTCCCTGAGCAGCACTTTGGTGACAGTGGGAAGGAAAAACTCCCTTTTAACAGGAAGAAACCTCCAGCAGAACCAGGCTCAGGGAGGGGCGGGGCCATCTGCCAGAGGTTAATAACATGTATGATTCAGCGCAGGCCACGACCAGAGTGACCAGATCATTAGTTTATGCACATGTCCACATGTCAGAAACATGTTAGTCCTTGATATGTCTGTGTGACATCAGTAGGTGTGTGGTGCTGTGTGTAAGTGCATGAGACATGCAGCAGGAGTGTGTGAGTGTGCTGCAGAGAAATACTAAAATGCAGCATGTGGACGTCAGCGTGGACGCTCAGTGGACGCTCAGTGGACCCTAGTGGATCCGTATGTATTTACTTTTGTAAAAACACTTGGCTGTGCTCAGCATAAAACACAACCATACCTTCAGAGCCTGAAAGCTGAAGCCCAGGTGGGCGCCCTTTAAACCTTTTGTCTGTGGCCATCATTTATTTCCTGTAGAGGTTTATGGAAACTCGTCCTTGGTCTTGACCTCAGCAAACTCTTCTCTGAGGAGTTTTTGGGCTCACACACTCATTTTCTAACCCATTTTATAAATGTTGGTCATTTCATCCAAAAGGAGGATTAGCAGGTATGTTTACTGGCAGTGATTAGTGATTGACAGAGTGACATCACAAACCTGTGAGTTAGATTACAGTGTGAATGGTTGTCTCTGTGTTAGACTGGTGACCTGTCCAGGGTGCACCCTGCTCGCACCCTATGATAGCCCCCCCGCAACACTGACAAGGATAAGCTGAAGAGAACGGATGGGTGGATGCATGGGTGGATGCATGGATGGATG